TATTATAAAAAATAAAATAATTATAAAAAATAAACAATACTTATATAAATATTGTTGAATTTTAAATAAACCAGAAAAAAAACATAATCCAAGTGCAACTATCGACAGAAAAATGCTTATAACTCTGTTGGTACTTTTACACACATGTCTGTTTTTTGCATAACTGGGTCTAATTATTTCTCTGTTTACTATTTTCAGAATATTAATATTTTGATATTATATGAATTAATATTAAATAATGGATTTTTACACTTTGCAATGTAGCAATATGAAAATGATACTATTTATAAGATAACTTTATGTAAACTTATTCTCAGGTTGTCTAGTAAAGTTTTACTATTTCTGTTTCTATTTCCTTAACTGATAAACATTAAGAATAATTTTAAATAAATAATAATTAATGAAATTATAAAAAATGTTTGAAATTAGTTATATTGTAAGGTACTTTGTTGCCATTTTTGTGTATTTTTGAAATCATTGTATAATTATTGTGGGTAGGAACGACTTTTGAGACGTTTAAAACCCGTTCTTCCTGTGACCATGATTGTTGTAAAGCATTCGACACGTCAGGAACCAAAAATCAAAATAAATCCTCGATCTTAATTATTTAAAAGCTATATGCTTAGCATCTTTTTTTTTTAAATTATAATTCCATCCTACAAATATTATAGTGTAATGCTATGCGTATATATGAGACACAGGCTAAAGGCCTAAAATTCCACTGATCAATTTCGGAACCATATAGAACAATATTTAAAGGATCCTGACCCGTATTACACGACCCATTTGCCGTTTATCGACCAATATTAAAGCAAAGGTCACCCTTTATTCTAACCTTCCGGATTCGCTTAATGTGCTAACAAAGGTTTTGAGTGCAGCTATTATTAGATAATCTGGCAAAGATTATACTTATTTGAATTTTATAGATAGATCTCATTTCGGTTTATTAATTGTATTACTATATTTCGTTTTTACAGCTTAAATTGGAAAGCCAGGAACGGATCTGGAGGGGAGGGCGCTGGGGGGGGGGACAAGCCGGGGCCCACGCGCCGGGCGGCAAATTCATACTTGACTGACGAATACACCACTCATCATTTACGCAACTTTGACCACTGAGACGTCCAGTACTTTAAGTACAATAGTAATAATAATTTTCGCGGAGCCAAAAAGAACTTATCTATACTATACATTAAAATTGTAACAAAGCCGAATCTGTACATTAAATATTTTTTGGAAAATCTTATTGAAATTATCGTTATTATCGATATAGAGGCAGTATCTATAGTTTTTAGAATTTTTGTCTGTCTGTCTGTTTCCGCATCACGGAAGAACCACTGGAGGGATTTTCAAGAAATTTGGTACGATGATAGCTGGTTATCCGGGTCAACATATAGGATACTTTTTACCGCGGAAAAATATCTCATTTCTGAGAAAAAATACAGAAACTGCAATGTAAGAGTATACTAATATGTAAAACCTAAAAAATTGGGTTTTGGTCATCTGAACGCGGGCGGAGCCGCAGGCAATGCTAGTTTTATATAAATTCAGTTTTTCGCGTGGCGTGTGGGCATAGGTCGCCTTTCGTTTATCAGTGCGCGGCCGAAAATGCTCGCTTCAGCACTTTTCTACCTTAAATAACTTTTTTCTCAGCATCTATTAGTGATAGAAACTTCCGGTTTGCTTCAGTTTGTTCAATATTGTTTTTCCAACGCATACATACTAAATAATTTGTCTTGATAACTTCTCAATAGTTTTCGAGATATTTTAATTAACAACTTATTTTTTTATAAAAAAAATAGAGGCCAATCAAAAAAAATTTTTATTCTTCTGAACTCAAATATAAAAATATATATAAAATTTTCCATATCCGCCGATAGTGTAGTTCAAGTTCTATTGTAAAGTTTCATTAAAATCCAATTAGTAGTTTTTTGGGTACTAAGCTGTATAAGTTACTATATATTTTTAACTATCCCACGGGAACTCTTTAATTTTCCGGGATGAAAAGTATCTAAGATGTTGACCGGGGATATAAGTTACCACCATGCAAAATTTCACACCGTACCTTATGTCCCAGGTAAACGTTTAAGATACGTCTTTTTATCCAGGAAAATTAAAGAGTTCCCGTGGGATAGGTAAGAAACTATAGTAACTTATACAGCTTAGTACACAAAAACTACTGATTGGATTTAAATAAAACTTTACAATAATATAAGTTTATACATCGGAATAACAAATTGGTTACTTTTTATCCCGGAAAAATGTACGGTTTCCGTGGGATAGATTTGTTTTTGTTTGTTTGTAACGTATTATGTACACAACATAGACCCCAAAACAATAGTTATTAAACATTTTGTCTGTTTGTCATTTTTGTGTGCGCGTTTCTCGCAAGAAGTAATGAACCGATTTCAACGAAATTTGGTGACATGATAATTTAAAATATAAAATTGGCGATTAAAAAGTACGTACTTGTAAAAGTCTATTTGAATAAAGTATATTCTAATTGATTGATTGATTGTCAATAAGTTCGCAACAGATAAAGTAAATAAAGGCGTGTCAAATATAGCTTTTATTAATGAGAATAGTGTTGTGTTATTTCGTATTATCTATTTATTTATATTATATTATTCGTATCTTTGTTCTGTCATGCTCCTAAAAGTTCAATTAATGTTGCGGAGCTGAACCCGAGATCTCTGGCATAAAGAACACTGCTAATCTACTACGATTACTTTTACGACTAATACGTCACTACGAGTACCACCACTCTATATAATTATACTTATTCTATATACTAGTGACTCACCCTCGCTTCGCTCAGATTTGTCCCTAGATTTAACGGTTAGTATGGAATAGATAGACTATATCCATACTTCCATACTAATATTATGAATGTGAAAGTGTGCTGAGATAGTTGGAAAGCTGTAGAGTGACATAGGCTTTATATAGCTGGACGTCATCACATTCCCACGGGAAAACACGTTATAATATAACCCATTAACATTCTGTCGAAACGTTCACATTCATAATATTAGTAATGAATTATTCGTATTTTTGCGATAAATAAATGTGTATTTTGCTTTGCTTTGATTGTAAAACTGATAGATGTCTCGGACTTAACATAATTTTTTTGTTTACATTTCTATTCCATCCTTTCAATATACATTTTATTGATAAAAAGTTCTTATTTTCAAATAGTTTAAATTACTGGTCAACCAAAAGGTTCAATTAAATTTTCTTTGAAAAGTGAGATTGAAATTTGCTACAACTACTGAAAAGCTCGGCTCAGACACTCATTATGATCTATTAAGGGTTCATTTAAAATTATTAGTTGAACTAGGATTTAAAAATACACACGCACACGCGTACGCACACGCACACGCATTTACACATGCACCCTGCGCACACATGGACAAAAAACTCGGTTTACCCAAAATTCGTCAATCATGTCCTTACAAAAAGAAATAAATATCTATTTGTGGTTTTAATTATCAATTTGAATGAAAATACGGTAGATAAATACGCTAACAATAATATTCAATTACTCGCTACGTTTTTTCTGATATAAAGTACATATTTGTTAGTTTCACATGAAATTGATATTTCATTTCCTTTGAAAAGCGCTCCCTTGAAACCACTGATTGAAATGAATTTTAATGCAAATATTTCCAATTAGTAAACATTGTGACACGACCTTTTGATATACATAATTCGTTGGCTCACAATTACAAGGTTCTATGTTACAATTTTAGTACTTATTTAGCTATTAATGCTACAAGGTTTTATGTGTCATTAGCTACAGTTTTGCAAAAACAAACAACTAGATAGCGGCACTATAACTACAAAATATTCAATTTTACATAGTTCTATGTTGTTGTTTTTACGATAACAAAATAACGAGGTTCTATGTAAAAATTACTAAACTTTATTAAAATAAACATAGAACCTTGTAATAATGAGCCAACGATATGTATATGAGACTACCAGGAAGTCGAGTGTGGTTTCACAGTAATTGATTTAAAATAATAATAAAATATTGTAGGTTATGTGTGTTAATTTATTTATTTTAGCATAATATTATTGAGTATTTAATTTTTTTATTAATGTAGAAAAAGGCATTTATGTCGGTGCCTTAAGTTGTATGTTGCCCGCAAAAGTAATCTAAAAGGAAAAAAGTTTGTGTGTGTACTTATGTACGCACGTAAGAAGTTATACTTTTTTGTTTCTTTTAGAGCATTAAAATAAAAGCTTGTTCTTTGTTATTTCTTTAATTTTTTAGTTTTTAATTTATTTTTTTAATATCCATATCATGGGGGTACATAAAAAAAAACATAGTTCGCTATATTGGATTTGTAATGAAGTTACTTTGCTTATTGTGTATCGCTCATCAAGCCCTTTCATTTGATGCCCATATCATAAGGGCCACTATGGAAATGATAAATGGCCATTTTGTAACGCCATTTTGGATTAAAAATGGCGGCAATTAGGTAATCGTGCAGTCACCGAAACCAAACGTGTGTACCAAATTTCAGCTCAATCGGATACTAGGAAGTACTAGGAAGTGGGTCAATTCGCCGCGAGGCAAAGATGGGTATAGATGCACCCCCGTCGTTCTCAGCCAAATAATTCGTTTTGCTAGTTTAAACCAAATTTAATAAAAAAAATCTTATATAATTAGCTAATTTACGTTACAAGTAAAGGCGTAGTGCAAATTTTATCAAGTATTCTGCTGAATTTTGTGCTAAAAATAGTGAAACTGTGAGTTACTTTATTGTTGGTGAAGGGTATTCGTAACATACGACCGTGTCTTTGTCGCCGTGGGTCATTAACCTCAATACTCGATGCATCACATTGCCCGTGACAACATAGTCTAATTCGCCTATCGTCGCTAACGTTCGCTGGCGTATCGGTGCACACCTAGTGGCTTAATCGACACGTTCCAGGTTCAAACCCAAGTTCATAAAATAATTTTCGTTTTTAAATTTTAATAATATACTTATAAGAACATGGAATTTGCTTGTTGCATCAAAACTACATGTGAAGCTCACGATCCTCTTATTTGTACACGTTGTGAACGAAACTTCCACGTCGATTGTGCGCTGCCATCTAAATCACTAAATTGGGAGCCCGATGAAAGCATAAGACTAATGTGGAGGTGCCCCTCCTGTGGCAGCGCCTCTCCTCGTAACAATAAAGACGATACTCCTTGCCGTAATTGTTACAAAGCGCTCTAAGCCAAAGAGTGACAAGGCTACAACGAGTATTGTAGACAAATCCGCTAAGTCAAACCAAAAACCTTTAAGTCTTGCACAAATTACGGCGGAGGAGATACGGTCTATAATTAAATCTGAGATTAAAGATGCCCTATCGTCATTTCAAAAATCTTTCGATGATCTTCGAATAGAAATATCCTCACTACGCAGTTCTGTGCAGTTTCTAAGCGACAGATATGATAGTGTCACAAAAAAGATGGAATCTATTGAAGCGAAAATGAAAACAATTGAAGCTAGTAGATCGGAATGCTTAAACTTGCAAGGGGCCGTGTCCGCACTTCAGAACGATATTAATAAAAAGGAGCAATGGGCCCGACGTTCAAACATTGAGATAATCGGTATACCAGAAGCGAAAAATGAGAATTTACTAAACATAATTAGTAAAATTGCCGGTGTTGCCGATGTTAAAAATTATGTTGCTACAGATATTGACTTTATCACTAGAGTCACTCCAAAGCATAACGATTCAAAAAAATCTAGACCTATTATAATTCGTTTCCTGTCTCGATATAAAAAGGACGACTTTCTGACTAGATTGAGGGAAAAGAAGAATTTAAAGTGTTGTGATATCGGATATGTAGGTAATAGCAATCGCATTTACTTTAACGATCACCTTACTAGTTTCAATAAAATGATCCTCCGTAAGACTAAGGATCTAGCTCGTGAAAAGAAGTTTAAATATGTATGGATTAAGAACTGTTCCATCATGGTGAGAAAAAACGACACTAGTCCTGTTCTGCACATTCAGTCCGAAAATGATTTTAAAAGAATAATGTAAGTGTTAATAATGTATTTATTGATTTATTGCATTTTTATTTCTATGTGCATGTACAATTCTTGATAAAATTTCTTAATATACCTATATTTTTATTTCGCAGTTTTAAGAGAGAGATGAATATTTTAATTAAACTATTTTTAGGTTTCTTTTTATCTATTTATTATTTGGAATTTTATAGATTTTATAAATATTTGTTAAAATTTTTAGTTAGTATTAATAATGTTTTTATGCACTGTTTTCAACGTATTAATATACTTATATTTTTATTTCGCAGTTTTAAGAAAGAGATGGATATTTTAATTAAACTATTATTAGGTTTCTTTTTATCCATTCATTATTTGAAATTTAATAGATTTAATGAATATTTGTTACATTTTTTACTTAGCGGTAATAATGTTTTTATGTATTGTTTTCAATGTATTAACTGGATGAATGCAGGGTTCAAATATTTTAATCCACTTTTAATGAATTATTATTTTCTGTCGATAAATCGTTGTTTCTTATTTTTACACGTTATAATTCTTAGTAATGTTGTTATAGTATTATTATATTTCAATGGATTCTAAAATAATTTTATTTTACCAAAATGTACGTGGTCTGCGTTCTAAAACCTCTTCATTTTTTTCTAATATATTGAATGTAGAATACGATATTATTTGCTTAACAGAAACATGGTTTTTGCCTGGTATTTATGATTCTGAGCTCTTTGACTACAGATACTCCGTCTATCGATGCGATCGTGATTATGATTCTCGGAATGATAAACTAGGTGGTGGCGTTCTGATTGCCGTTCGAAATGGCTTAACTGTGAGAGAAGTAACCGTTCAACCCTCCACTAATACTTGCTCATCTGATGTTATTACTATTTGTATAGGCATTAAGTCAAACAACAATCTTACCAACTTTCGAATATATTGCGGTTACTTTCCCCAATGTGCGTTGCAACTTGATGATCAAATTAAATTTTATGAACAAGTATCCGAAGCAATCATTTTAAATCCTAAAGACACATTTTTATTAGTTGGAGATTTCAATATCCCGGCCGCTAATTGGTCTCAAGTTGATGATACTAACGTCACTAAACTGTTACACACACCCAGAGATTCAAATTCTCAAGTTAGCCTATTATCTACTTTTTTACGAATAAATAACTTAAACCAGTTTAACATTATACCTAACGGTAATAATCGATATTTGGATCTGGTGATTAGCAATTCTAATTGTATTAGTGTAAAACACTGTGAAATACCTTTAGTTAAAGAAAATTCACATCACCCCGCTCTAGAAGTTGAATTAAGCAATTTACTATCTAACTTTCTCACGAATGCTCCACGAGTTGTTAAACTTTTCCGTAAAGCGAATTATCATGAAATTAATAAAAGGTTGTTTAAAATTGATTGGCCGGAGTGTTTTAAGTCTTTAGATATAGAGCGTGCAGTTGAAGTATTTTACGAAATCATTAATCGTGTTATTGATTCTCTTGTTCCCACTAAAATTGTTCTTGTTAATAATAAATATCCCATTTGGTATACCTCTGCGTTAAAAAAAATTACTAAGGAAAAAATAAAAGTCCATAAAAAATGGAAAACTTATGAAAATTATAGTGACTATTGTACTTTTCGGATGCTGAGGAGGAGACAAGAAGTAGTTGATACCGAATGTTATAATAACTATCTGAAATACGCTGAAAACACAATTGCTAAGGACTCTAAATACTTTTGGACATTTGTAAAATCTAAAAAGCAAAGCGCTGACTTACCTGACATGTTTTACCTGGATAATTTTTCTACAGATAATGGACAAGAGATTAGCAATCTTTTCAACAACTATTTTTATTCTTCTTTTGAGCAGACTCCCATTAAGTATACCCCAAATATTAAAGTAGACGTTCACCCTCGCTGTAATAGCATGGACCTTTCTTCTGTTAATATTTCAATGCTGACTGTTGATAAATACTTAAAATCATTAAACATAAACAAGGGCTGTGGTCCAGACGGTGTACCTGCTATATTCTTGAAGAGATGTAATGAGAGCCTTAGATTACCCTTATTTATTCTTTTTACTCTATCTTTACGGACGTGCACTATGCCTTCTCAATGGAAAAGGTCATATGTAGTACCTATCTTTAAAAGCGGTGATAAGCATGACATAAAAAATTACCGTCCTATTTCGAAACTAAGTTGTATCCCTAAGATGTTTGAAAAGATGGTTTATGATACAATGTTACCCGTTATTAGACCTTTAATTATTGAACAACAGCACGGTTTTATTAACAGAAAATCTACTGAAACGATTCTTTGCGAATTCACTGATTTTGTTACGTGTGCAATGGATAATGGATATCAGGTGGACGCCGTGTACACAGATTTTTCTAAGGCTTTTGATAAAATATCTCACCTTATTCTTCTAGAAAAATTAAAATACATTGGTGTACACGGCGACCTTCTGCGTTGGATTGAGTCGTACCTTAGTAACCGTAGTCAAGCAGTAACTATAAAGGGTTACTGTTCATCTTTTATTCCAGTCCCATCTGGGGTACCCCAAGGATCCCATCTAGGTCCCTTATTATTTAATGTATACTTAAATGTAATTAACCTAGTTTTCGAGCACTCCAAATTTTTACTATACGCTGATGATAATAAAATATTTAAAATTATTAAAGGTATAAATGATTGTATTGATTTCCAGAATGATTTAGATCGGTTAAGTGATTATTGTTCCAGGAATTCTTTGTTCTTGAACATTAAAAAGTGCAATGTTATTACTTTTACTAGAAAACGTTTAACTATTAATTACCAGTACAAATTAAATAAAGAAATTATTTCCAGAGCTAGTGTGGTTAAAGATCTTGGAGTTATAATCGACTCCAAGTTACTCTTTGATGAGCACGTCGCTTATTTAGCTAATAAAGCTTATCGTATGCTGGGTTTTGTACTGAGGATATCCAAAGAGTTTAAGCAACCGTCAACACACATTCTTTTGTACAACACCTTCGTGAGATCTATCTTGGAGTATGCTTCTTCTGTTTGGAACCCTCAGTATAAGAATCATATTTGTAGAATCGAACGTATACATGATCGATTTATTAAGAACCTCCCAGTAAACATTTCTATTAATAATAAGAAAATTTCTATCCTTATGCCAGCAGTTGAACGACGTGCTCAACGAGATCAAGTCCTTTTATATAAGATCTTGAATAACGAAATCGATTCGCCGTATTTATTGTCTAAACTACAATTTAAATGTCCACGAAATATTAATCCCAGACAAAAATCCACTTTTTATGTCCCTGCTACCAGAACTAAATTTGCAAAAAATTCATTTATCAATAGAAGTTGTGATCAGTATAATAATCTTTTTATTAGTAATGACATATTTCATCTCTGTCTTAATAAATTTAAAATTAGTGTTATGTATGATTTTATTATTTTACATTATTAATTTAAAAATGTGTTATTTATTGAATTATATTCTAAGGATTTTATTGATTATTTGTAATTATTGATTGTATGGCATTTCTCTCTCTCTCTCTCTTTTAAATTTGTAAGTCTCTTTTTTAATTGTTATTTTTAATATTTTGCATCTGTATCCATGTCTTTGTTATAAGTGTTATTTTAACAACGGAAACTATTATTGGTTATGTATTATCAATTGTTTGTTATTCTATGTTTATCTTGTAACACCGTTTGTTTCCTTAATAAATAAATAAATAAATTTAACTTGCAAGGTTTGATTGCAGACAAACTCCGGGACAAGCGAAACTAAATAAAAGCTTAAAAATCAAACACTATTAAATATAGAAAGATAAATTTATGTTTTCACTTCTCTGGTTATTTTTCTCTTCTTGTTCAGGCTCTGTAGCAATTAAACCGAAATAGATTATTTTAAGAAAAATCCCACAATAGCTAATTGAACACTATTTTTATCGACATGCTATACAGACAGTACCGTGGGTGAATAATAGCTATATATAATATTAAAGCTGTGTCGATCCTTATTAATGAGCTCGTTTCTCGCAAGTGACTATAATACATATTTTATATTGAAAGTAACAAGTATTACTAGAGGACTAAATATAGTAATAAGAATATTATTCAAAAAATATTTAAGGAAAAATTAATTTCATATAATTTTATTAATATAAAAAAATCTTTTGACTAAGCTGGCAATCTCGCGAGGAATCAAGTTAATTACACGTCTTATATTTGTCAGAATTCAGTAATATACTATAGTGGTGAGATCGAAGAAAATTTCATTAGTGTCAACAGCACACGACATCAGGGATATTGCCCAATTTCCTGATCTTTATCATATCTTTATCATAATTGGCTAAATATCAGTAGACTGGTGTACTTGGGCCTCCATGGGGTTAAGATGTCAATTTGCAATCGTTGAAGTATAGAAATACATATATGGGAATAAAAACATTTAAGGGGATGACGTATTTATGATTCTATGACACAACTATTAAATTAGTCATTCCAACAACGTTTGTAGAATCCCCCTTATATCTATACATATAATCTATACATATAATAAAATTCTAACCGAGTCGAATCTGTACCTTAAATATTTTTTTGGAAAATCTTATTGAAATAGTCATTATTATTGATACAGAGGCCGAATCTATAGTTTTTAGAATTTTTGTCTGTCTGTCTATCTGTCTGTGATCGCATCATGTCAATATCACTGGACAGATTTTGATGAAATTTGATGATAGTTTGTTATCCAGGTCAACATATACGAGTAGGATATATTGCAGGAAAATAGGAAAATATCTCATCTCTGGGAAACGTATACTAAACGTTAAAACATAACTTGGGACTCACACTTGCTCCGCTCGGGTTCGCTAGTATTGCTATAAGTATTTTTTTAGTAAGACAGTAGGTACGTTTTTATATTGAAAATAAAATATTCAATGTAAAAACATCATATTTTTTTATTAATTTCTTTTTATTTAGTTTGTATAATAATAACACCAATTTTATAATTTTTTA